AGGAAGCAGGGCGATACCGGTGGGGAACAGTCACCTTTGGGTTGACGTCAGAGCGGTTTCTCTATAAAGAGAGCCGGGGGGGCCCTCATATCCATCAGCATTCTGCCCCCACATGAGGCTGAGCACCTCACTGGCAAGCAGATGAGCTTGGCACAAGAACAAGGCCAGTGGGTAACACATCTTCTCGCTCTCCGGAAAATTTATTTTCAGCACAATGCATTTCCTCCGCCTCCCCCTCAAACCCCCGTGATCGATACGCCAGAGGCCTCTTTCTTCAAGTCACGTCTCTGTTTTCAAATGCCTGTCAGCTACTTCCCAAAGCTGCAATTCAGCTGCCAGGTGCCAAGAAAACATTTGTGCTCAGCGGGCTGGGGAGAAAGGGTGGGCTTGAAGGATGGCAACTTTGCTTGGGGGGGGTGCCAAATGGGGGGCCTGGGGGCACACTCAGGCAGGCGGGCTCCACAGCACTGCCTTGCCCACCACCCCAATCCCCCTCTGCTCCTGCCCTTTCACAGGGGTCTCTTGGTGAGTTGCTCTGCTAGCAGATGGCAAGATCAGCTCCCTTCCCCGATTCCTCCGATCCGAGCGGCCATTCACACAGTCGCTGGGAATAAATAGATTTTCCCAGATGCCATATCTGGTTGCTAACAGTCCCTGTAATACCCCCAGAGTATTTGGGGTGGAGGCCTGGTCTTGAATGGGCAATTAAGATCCATTTCCTGTACGGGAGACGAGCGCCTAATGGACTTAAAACCTACTAGAACAGTACCTGCTGGCTTTCCGATCAAGGCTTTCTCCCTGGTGCCAGGGAAAGAAACTCGTGGAAATCCTGTACAGATGAACTTGTTCCATTTAGGGAACTGATATGTCCTGCTTTTCCCTTTATTCTACGGTTTTGGGTCCCCCATGCTAAGCTGACGATTCGACGATCAGCAGCTAGGACCCCAGTACATCAGGCATGGTGCGGCTCGTTAAAAAATGCAGGCACTTTCATGCATGTAGAGACAGGAGAGAAGCTGACTGCATTTTTGGGGTGTGAGCCTACAGGCGCTGCCCGGACAAGTCCTGACACTGTGAAATTGACCACTGAGGCACCGAGCCAGACAGACAGGAATCCAACCGGTGCAGCGCCAACCAACAGTGGCACTGCAGGGATGGGTACCTTGCTGAGGGTCCGGTTTTAATCATTCTTCAACCACAATCTGCTTGGGCATTCCAGTCCACCTTAGGGCAGGGATGTTGACACTGTTAGAGACCTAGCGCCCAGACTGCGAACGAAATCCACTTATTTATCGCAAAGTGCCAACGCTACAAAAAACCCTGAAAAATGAGGTTTTACTTTAGAAAAAACAAGTCAGAGACAGTCAAAGCAATATATATCTATATATATCCTTGGCATCACACAGACTGGCCAAACAAAACCTCGGACAAGATGCACCTAATGAGTCGAGGCTTGAAATGTCTCCACCCGGCGCTGCGCCTCCATTCCAAGTATGAGCATGGCCCCTGTGGGCTCTGTTATCCGATGCTCGGCTGCTGGGACGATGCCAGGGCAAGTTGGGTCTGTGCGGGCAGAGAGTGCTCTGCGTGACTGCTGTGGCACCCGTGCCACAGGTTCACCAGCAATGGCCGAACCCTAACCTGGTGCACACCCCTAACCCTAATATAGGAGTAAAGTTCCACTGAAAAGGGGCGATTTTGAATGAACCTTCCTTGAGTAGCTTTTTCTGCACTGCTCATCATCTCTGCCCAGCCTAAGCACATTCCAACCATCAAAACCATGCCAGGACACCTAGTTTTCCTAACCCTAACCCTA